GCCTCCTGGAGGGAGGCAGGCAGGGGGGGGGGGATTTTAGCAGCAAGGGTTGGGAGGGGGGGCAGGTTTGGGTTTATGGGCAAAGCAGCGTTGGCCTTGATGTCTAGCAGCAAGGGGGGAGTTGCAGCAGATTTCGGGGGGCTGGTTGGAGTGGTGGTTCCTTGGGCTGCACCCACACGCCTCACTCCCACCTCTGTTTTCCACCGCAGCCCTTGCTTCTGCGGGATGAGCAGGCGGGTGAGTAGAGCCCCTTCTTGGGTGACTTTAGGCCTGTCTGCCCCCAATACAGCATGCAGGGGGCTACTCAAACATCCTGCGCTCTAGAATTTGGAGCATTTCAGATTCCACACCAGGTTAGTGTGGGGATGCTGTGTTGGGAACCACAGACCTACCCGCTCCCCACGTCCTCTGAAGAGAGGGCAGCTGCTGTGGGTTGTGCCTGTCAAATCAGGTCTCTACCGGGGGAGGAGATGGGGGGGGGGCTACGAAAATGGGGTCCAAACGCCCAGTGGGAATATAATCAACTGAGTCACAGCATAGGAAAGGGGCTTTGTGACCACCGTAGGTGGGTCTGCACCCAGTAGCAGACCCTCCTTGCTAGGAACTTGGCACAGGCTATGCTTTCTGGGCCAGAGCCGGGTAGTTCTTGCCCAGGTATGGATTGCAGGGCCGAAGCCAGGCTAGAACGCTGCCTTCTGACTGTTTTAAGGGAGGCGTTCCTCCCTCCCATCTCCCTTCCCGGGTCTCTTGTTTGATTGTCTCCTTGGCCCCAATTCAGGAAAGCACATGTTTCATGTCAGCGAGATTTGGGTGAGTGCTTTTCTGAACTGGAGCCAGAGGGCTGCTGGGATTAAAATCCCCTTTTCTGGCCGATCAGGTCACGTTCCCAGGCAGGAATGACTCTACAGATTTCAGTGGGCTTCCCCGGCTGAGGTGAAACCGCCCCCCAGGCCTTCCGAGTCCCAAAGGGAAGCCATGCTATGGATTCAAGGAGGGTGAGGGAGATATCTTGGGGGGTAGGGGGGGCGTGCCATTCAGGCAGCTCACAGGATACCCTCCCCAAAGAGTAACGGACAATCTTTGTAGATCTAGCAAAGGGACTCAAGTGCTGATGAAAATTTAGGGTTTTTCACTCCTCCTTTCTGCCCCTTCTCTGGGTATGTTTCGATGTAACATGCCTGTGATCTCTCTTCCCCCATTCTTCCTGCCTGCTGTTTTGTATCTGTCTGTCCTGGATCCCACTTCCCAACTCTCCTCTCTCACCCCTCCCGCCCCTCTTGATCCTTTTTTTTTTTTTTTTGGGTTGGTTCTTGTTTTCTTTTTCCCTTCGTGGGGAAACCGATTTCATTTTGCTGATTGTACCCAGCGCTGTTGTATTTTAGTGGATGTGTTTTTTAGTACAAAAAAAAATTTCAAAAAAATTTTTTTCTGTTTAAAAAAAATAAAAATGAAAAATTCTTACAGTACTGACAATTTTTTTTTAAAGTTACAGGGGAGGAAAAAGTGGTTTGTACTGTAAGAGAATTGAAGCTGAGTGCATTTTTGCACTACCACAAAAACCCGTAATACTTATAGATGGACATTCTTGTGAATTACAAAAAATAAAAATAAAAAAAAATCATTTTTTTTCTAATATTTAAAGAGTGTTTTTTGTAGGTTTAAAACAAATGAAAAACAAACAAAACCCAACTTCAATTTGTATTGCTCAGTGGACTTAGAAATCAACCCTGGACAGACTTAAAACTGTGGAGGGATTTTTGGGGTTGGTTTTTTTTTTTTTTTTTTTTTTTGGAGGGCAAGGGAGGGATGGGGTTCGTATAATGAAGTGAAAAATAATGTTTCTGTTCTCATGTCATTACTATTAAAAAAAATAAAACTTTAGGAAAAAAACTCAGTGTATGAGGTTGTTTCCCTCCGTTGTGACTTTGCTTAACTTAATAATTAGCTATTGCTGTTTGTTTTACAGTAGTGTTGCGAGGTGGGCTTGGGGCTGATAGGACTGTACCTACTGGGTTTGAATGTGAAATTCTATGGCTTTTGTACAAATTGGAGTAGATCTCTGTTTCTCAGCCTTTTTAGATTGATGACCTCTTACTTGGAGGGAAAAGCCTTTGTGACCGAACATTAAATGTATCAGGGCTAAGCCTATTCTAGAGAGGTCTGTTTCGAGGGGTGGACGCCGAACACTTAACCTTGAAGGGGAAGGTGCACGAGAGAGCAAGATTTTAAAAAAAAATTTTCCTGTAGATTGTAATTGTCTTGTGCCCCACCCCTTCCCCTACTGCCTTTGAACACTTGGAAGTCGCCACCTTAAAACTAAGACCTGCATCTTTATGACCAGGGCCGGCCTTAGGTCGATTTGTCCGATTTCCCCGAATCGGGCTCCGCACCTACAGGGGCCCTGAACCCGGAAGTGTGCCGGGCGCGCTGTGGGAGGGGGCATCGGCCCCGGCGGAGGAGTGCAGCAGCTGCTTGTGCCACAGGAGGTGTGAGTTGAGTGCAGGGTTTCCCTGCG